CACCATTAGAATATACCGCCCTGCATCCACCCACTTCTAATGGTGGGCACACATTAGGTCACACTTTGCCACATGCGCCAGTTCCAAGATTGTACAAATGTCTAAATAGTGGCACGCTTGAATAAAAATTGTCCACGTATAAGTGGTACCCCATATGGAGAAATGATGACACCAAGTCCCAAACTATCTTGTCACTGCTCCACAAACAAGAGATCCCCTATGCTAGCATTGTGTCCACAGTAGCATTTGCGTAGGCAAGGCAGAGTAGGACTGGCCATAGAGGGATTACTTTGACGCAGTTGGCCAGCTTAAGCATGTATTGCAATATGTGTGAACTAAATATCCCTATTTATTGCATAGTCTGCTGGAAAGGGTATATACCAGTGTGCAGAGGGTCCTTCAGAATTTCTAGTGTTAATATGTGGTTACACCCCTTTAGCACCTGATGGATAAATGCATGCACTAGCTGTATGGATTTGAGCACAGGGATCTCTTGTTTCTTGGTGACTGCGGGACAATACTTGTGCTCGCTACCGCACCGGCTTGTACTGGACTTATGGGACTCGCCACGTCACCAAGTCATACTGCAGTGCTGGTATTATTATTATACAGGATTTATATAGCGCCAACAGTTTGCTCAGCGCTTTACAGTATAACGGGAGACAATACAGCAACAATACAGTTCAATACAAGAGGGTTAGGAGGGCCCTGATCTGGTAGCTTACAATCTAAGAGATATGTAAAATATCAAGATGTACTAGACCGCTGGTACTCGCCAGTTCACCAAAAGGTAGCACGGCACTAGTACTGGCACTCTGATGCATATGAGAGTCATCAAAATTTACCGACAAGTGCTAACAGAGATCAGGCCTGATTCTGCCAACACTGCGGTTTTGTGTGCAATGTATCAAGTGACAGTGACCTACTGACATTGCACTTTCTGGTTGAGAAGGGGGGTAAGCTGTTCACTGATTGGTTGCTAGAGGTTACTGCACATCATTATCACTTACTTATTGATTGCTAGAGGTTATAGCATATCATTACAACTCACTGATTGGTTGCTAGAGGCTATATAAAGAGGAGTTTCTACACTGATCACCTTAGGCAAACATGTGAATTCTGCCATTATTTACATATGAATGCCACATTGCTGCTACTATTTACATATGAAGTGTGCCGCTATTTACATATGAATGCAGGTTATTTACATATGAATGCTGACAATGGTCTGCACACATGAGGGCAGAGCTGGGCAGCATAGGGCAGAGCTGGGCAGCATAAGTGATAGAACTTCACACTTAGATATCAGGACACAGAGCAGGAGGAAGACTTCAAGAGACAAGAGAAAGTATGGGGCAGTTGTTTTGGGCCCCAAAGCAATGACTGGGCCCAGGACAGCTCTCCCTTTTGCCCCTCCCTAAAGATAGCCATGACTCAGTGGGAGGATTCCCCTAACCACATTGAATGTGTAGATAGGGGAATTGGATCCTTTGTTTATATTGTGCAACCCGCTGGTTGAACAAAAAAAAAGTGATCAACATATGTGCTGCTGCGGCTGCCTAAGTGCTAACTGGAACTGAGCAAGTTTGTAAAGCTCCTGGAAAGACAGAGAGGGGGAGGGAGACAGGTGGGGGGGGGGGGAGGGGAGAAGGGAGGGAGATGGGAAGAATTCGGTGATCACAGTGTTCTGCATTGAGCAGTGTTCACTCACCAGAGAACCAAGGTGGCTTAGGCATCATTCATACAGCCAGGTATCTATAGCTGCCAGCTGCTGTTTTTCATATTTCCCGCCCACACATCTCCTTTTTCTCAGATACAGCTGCACACTGTGGATAGGAGAGTGAGCGGGCCGGGGAGACAAGGGGGAACAGGGGAGGGAGGAGAAGCAGCAGGTCTATTCCACTTTTATTTCCTATCCCAGCAGGGAAGGGGGAGTGTGCTGGCTGGGATCAAACATACACTCGGCTTTAGCTTCAGTGGGCCCTCCCACACACAATGCCAGGGCCCAGTCACAAGTGCAAACTTTGTGACTCTGGTAGTTCCGCCACTGTTGTGCAAGAATACATTATTTTTCCCAATAATACAGAGAAAGTATTCTGCTGAGTTCCCTTTACCAGTGTTTTGTGTTATTTTTGCATTTTTTGGGTGTTTATTAAGCAGGATCAAGTTACACAGATAGGAGATAACATGAGGGGGTGGTCACCCTGGAGAATGAAAGACCGAAAATTGAATGTTAAAAGCAAACAAAATTTTGTATTTTAATTAAGTATTTTTACCCGACACTCATCAACCTATTTAATGTACATTTAGTTTTTAGTTTCTAAGTTTTGTATCGAATATTCGTACAGGGGGTATGATGTACGGGTATGTCTTTCTGGAACTAGAGAGCAACCGCCCGGTTGTTTATCTACATTGGCCGGGTGTGAAGTGGATAAAGACGTCCCTTATTAGTGGACATCTTTTCCTTTTTAGAGTGATGTCCTTTGATTCTAAAGCTGGCTATACAGTTGTAGGTTTTAGAACGAAGGTTTGTAAGAATATTCGTACAAACATTCGAACTAAAACCTAATTGTAAATTCAATGGGTTGATGCGTGTCCGTCGAAAATACTTCAAAATGTTGTTTGCTTTTAACATTCAATTTTAGAATAAATGGGCTTACTGAACGAAAAACCACATACACTGTTAGAAATTTGTTTGTCAAAGAAATATTTTCCATCCTGTGCCTTCAAATTTTCTAATCACTGCGGTCAAAAATGAATGTCGATTTGACCCCACTAATGATTAGGAATTTGAGAAGATCCTAACAAGAAACATTTTGAAAAAAATTCTACTAGTGTATAGCCAGCATATGGCTGCAATATAATAGTGTCATTCAATTTGCTTCAGTCAGATTGTTTAGTACCAGTAACTGCCCTTTAGTTGTTCTCAACTCTGGCTTGGCTGCCCTAGTGGCTATTGAACCCTGGCTGATCCTGACCTCAAGTAGAGCTGAATAGAAAAGGTGCATCTAAAAGAGGACTGTTACAGGTATCAGATCATGAACATTCATGTAGACCAATCAATACACAAATTATATATTGGCAACTTTAACTTTGACTGTCCCCTATTTTTTCCCAGAATGAGTGATCAAACCTGAAACTCTTTGGAAGGCAATTGTTCAAATCTCTTTTCAATGCTTCGGCTGGCACTAATCGTTATTGTAAAATAAAATGTTACTTGAGAAATAAGTGCCCAGGCATGCCTTGGCATTGTGAATTGTGCAAGGTGTTAGACCATTTGGATACAATAGACAGTAAACAAGAAGACTCTCATATTTATATAAACAATGTATGTCTGCACTTGTAAGTTATGAGTATATTCATTACAGTGCAGGGGGTTGAAATACTTTGGAAGTAGCCTGAATCATTGATGTTGTAATGTCCTGCTTTCTTCGCTGCACTATGGCAACTGATACATTACAGTTCTGTGGCTAATGTAATATACCAGGCTACATCATTTACTTGTCAAAGATGCATTGAGAGTCTGTGATGTTTGGCAATGAAATCATTATTATAACAACTTAAACCTTGACAGTGTGGTTAGTATGTCAACATTTTCCAAATATCAAAATGACGTATGAAATTCTGGCATACAGAACCAGTATCAAGGACATTTCTAAAAGTGAAACAATTATGTTTTTTTTTTACTTTTGCTTTGTACATCACTAATGCATTCTAATGTCGTAAATAACTTCAAATTGCATCCATACCATTTTAAACTATTAGCTATTAACTTTGTTCATCACCAAAAGCTCTTTTTTGAATATTTTTGGTAATTTTGTTATGGGATCCTGACTAAGGTTGAGCAAATTTGTCTGGGTTCAGTTCATGAACAGTTTTGCAAATTTTGCTATGGGTTCTAAGGGGGGGTCAATTGTAAGGCTAATAAGGCTAATAAGCAAGCTATTGCCAAACAAACAAAAGGCATGGGAAGCAGGGCATGGAAGCTATAACAATGCCAAAATTCAGTATATAAAAAAAATAAAAAAATAAAAAACAATATCTCTCCCCACACAGAACTGGCAACTCTCCCCAGCAGTCAAAACACACTGATGACATGGCTGCTGTGAACTAACCCATTTATTGAAAGTGACTGGGAAATTTGGGTCTTGTGACTCAGCTGATAAAGGGGAAAGGCTTTGCATTGCATTATAGGCTGTTTTTTGTTCTCATTGTCAACCTGCAAGGTTTTTGGCCAAAAGTTTGTGAACATTGTGAATCCTGGAGATTCATCATGAACTCATAATAGCAGTCAACTCAAACCTCATCCATAATCATGACTTACCCTGATTTCATGGCTAGCCCTGCCATTGCCATTCTGCTGTGCAGTAGATTGTAGTTACTGGCCACCACAGCTGCCGCAGTAGGCACGGCAATGGCAGTTGTCAGGGCTTAGCCAATCCAGAAAAGTCAGACACTGTAACAAAGTAAATCTATGTAAGAAAGGGATAAAAGGAGCCTTTCTGGCTAAAGGTAATATTAGTACACATCTTGTCATGTCTGCCCCTAGGCAGGATTTTTAAAGTTTGAATTACTGTACAGCAACATTTTAAGATGTAGCCAAGGAGAAACAAGCTACAAATCTGCGCTTTCTAGTCTTTTTACATCTAAAACTTGGTGTCAGGCAATACACAAATGCTGGAGACTAAAAGGGACCATGCACAATAATGGGACATTTATACCACAACTCCATCTAAGTTTGTCAAAAATGTTAGAAAGCAATCTGACTCTAGATGTTTATTTTCCAACATGTAGATATACATATAGACATGGAGCAATATGACTTTTACATCTGAACTAAGCTACCATGTAAACAGGTCTGGTTCCATTGAAATCTCCAATATTGGACCATAGGACACAATGTCTATGGATAGCATTATTCACAGGACAAATTAAGATTATAAACATCTGGCCTTTTTAAAACTACTACATTCACTTAGCCCTGTCCTTCTATGGCTTACTGTGCATTGTGATCATTTGCAGGAATTCACTGTGTGTTTTCTTTATTTCCCATGGCAGCATTTTTCTGTGCTCAGTTCGTACTGAAATCTTCCAGGATCTTAAGATAATCTAAGAAAAAATCAGAATGGTTGAATAACAATTGATGATTTACCTTTGTAGGCTACTATGTTACCATTAATGCAATTGGTATACTGCAGTATTAGTTATCATTTCAGAATGATGTGGGACTAAATGGTATGGTTGAGGGTGAGGCAATGTTGATGTGATCCATGGTGTAAATAATGTAAAAATGACTGTATAACATGATAGGAGTAAAACTGCAGACAAATATAGAAAACACAGTTTTGTTCATATTTGTATTCATCTGAAAAGATTCTGCAGTTTATGTGGTTTATTTATTTCAAATATGTCTTATACTACCATATTAGTAAAATGATAATGAAGCACTAGACATGTATCTAAATATGTGTATATATTACACCTGCAGTGCTATGTATTTGCATATCGGTCACAAAGTCAATAATATATAAACAAAGCATGCATATATACGGTAGTTAATAAAATACTATAACTGGTGCTTTTACATCATGCTTGAATTACTGGATGACTGCTGATAAAGTGTAAGCAGGTCAGTCAAACACTGGCCTATATCCTATGTGCCAACAGAGGAACCCTCAAGGGGGTAAGATGGATGGGAAGGTAAATATATCACACTCTATTGTAAAGTGACAAGTGCTGTCAGTGGATGCTGAGTGGAGCCATAGGAGCCAATTACCTGATATCCCCAGTGCTGCGGAGCACATACTGTTCAATGTGTTGTGGCCCCTAGGGGTCGCTTCCAGGAGGTGAGGAGGCACTCTAGCCACTTTGGGATAGTGATACACACATGTCACAGAAGCACACATTATGTTTGGAGTGAAATATAGAAGCACTACTATTGCCTAATTTGCACATCAACCTTTATGCACATTTTATTGCACTTTATTGTGAACTTTTGATCTATAGATTTATTTATTGTTTTTGCAGTTTGAGCACTTGTCACTTTACAATAGAGTGTGATACATTTACCTTCCCATCCATCTTACCCCCTTGAGGGTTCCTCTGTTGGCACATAGGATATAGGCCAGTGTTTGACTTACCTGTTTACACTTTATCCCTAGTCATCCAGTAATTCAAGCATGATGTAAAATTACCAGTTATAGTATTTTATTAACTATATATGCATGCTTTGTTTATAAATTATTGACTTTGTGACCGATATGCATATACATAGCACTGCAGGTGTAATATATACACATATTTAGATATATGTCTAGCGCTTCACCATCATTTTACTAATATTGTGTATCCTCAGGTATAAGGAGAAGGTAATAGCAGCTTACATAGATTTGTTTGGTCATATAATTACCAGTGGAGCGCAGGGGGATTATTATATATATTTGTCTTATACTACCACTCCAGATGAAATCAGGCTTGCAATGGAAATAATTATTTTGGAAGCTGTTGAAGGGGAAATCCTTAGTTGGATGTACAGCAGAGAAGGCGTTTAGGGTGGGTATTGTCAATATAGTGTTATTCACTAGCATTCCAAAAAGAAGGCAGGAGGCAGAGCATTAACTTCCCAACTGTCCCGATTTGACCGGGATAGTCAGAGATTTTTAAAAGCTGTCCCAACATGACCTTGTCCTGGGCTGCATCCTGGAAACCAAGGCCGATCACGGACACTCAGTGCTACAGGTGCCCACACACATCGCAGACAGTTTTTCACATTGGGGCACGTGAGGAGCTCAGTGTGCTGCCGGGCAGGGTCCCAGTGCCCACTTACAGAGAAGAACACATGCAGGGGACAGATCCCTACCTCCTCCCCCAAGTAACTGACCATGTAGCGCTCTCATTGGGGACTCTCTCCTACAGAGAATGTCCCTGAGGTGGAGCCTGCTGAGAAACTCCCAGTTTGATTGGGTGGAACGCAGAGGGTGTGTGGCAGGCCTGTGAGCTGATCACACCTAGCCCGCTTCTCTGGTGCAAATGTGAGGCTCAGGCTAGGAGAGAACAACACAGATGGACGAAAGTTAGTGATCTGGCAGCCCCTATGCTTCCAAGTGGAGGTGTCAGCTGAGAGAGGTCCTATCTTAAAATGGGCAGACTGATATTCTATAGTAACATAACTCCTCCAGGTGAGGAACAGCATTTTGGAAGAATATCAAAATATATTTAAAATGCCCACCTCACATACACTACAGAGACTTCCTGACTGGGGTCACCTCCTATACAGTACAGAGACTTCCCTGACTGGGGTTACCTCACATACTGTATAGAGAAGTCTATGATCGGGAGTCACCTCATACAGTACAGTCAGGGACATCTCTGTACTGTATGGGAGGTGACCACAGTCAGGGACTTCTTTGAACTGTATGGTGAGGTTTTTTTCATTGGCTAGGTAGTCAGCTTAGTGTGGGACTGTTGTTGCCTGCTATACTTTCATTTGTAATACATTTTGATATTCTTCCAAAATGCTCAAATATTTAACCTTGAAACGTATTACATTTTCTTTCATACAAATCAGTGTAAAAAATGAAAATACCTGAAACAAATAAATTAATATGTTAATGATATGCTTCTTGTAGAACTATGTCCATTTAAAATGAATGCCCCACCCCTAATTAAAGTACATGCTCTGCCTACAATGGATTTCTGGACACACAGAAAATAAATGTGTCCCTAGAACGTTTTTTGAAATGTTGGCAACTATGCATTGGTACAGAAAGTTGTATCATTACCATGCAGCCATATAATCAAAAGGATTCATAAGGATCATAAGTAATTTTGCATTATTTAAAAGTGTTTTGGTAGGTAAAATAGCTGCGTTTCAGTTACATATTTATTTGTTCACTTTGTCCTTTGAAGGTTGATGTCAGAAAGCCACACTAACATTAGTAATTCCAAAAGGCAAATATTCTCTAAAGATACGTTTGTGTTATTTACTAAAGGACATAGTATACAACAAATATCTATTCCATCTTAATAGGAACCAATTCTGACTTTGCTGTGCAAGAATCTTAATATTCTGTTTGAAATGATTCATTATTGTGCAGGCTCACATATACAAAAATAACAAAATGCCCCGTTTGATCTTTATTTGCTTTGCCTGTGATTGATTCTTCAGCAGACCTCAAAAACTGTCTTCCACCTCCCGAGTGTATGTTGTGGTCAGCTATCAGCCTTTAGGTGACCTTCTACCACCTGAGTAAAATTAATGCATCAGACAGCAAGTAGGGCTAAATAAGAGAGGAGAAAGTTCAATATTTTATCAATTAGCCTGCACAAATAGAATAATTTAATAATCAAACATTATACTTCATTGGTATTACTGCTACAAAATATCTAATTGGCTGCCATGATAAGCAGCACTTTGCACCATTTTATTGCTCATTGTAGGTCTTAATTCATTACTGAGGTTTGCTAATACATATTATAAAATGAAGTAAAGCCCTTACCTCTTTTTTTGTTATGACAAAATGATGGAAATCTTTGCTAGGAGCAGGCGCCTGGCACTGAATTTCATACAACGTGTCTTGTAGAAGAGATGCCATAGGAATATATATGTTATCTGCTGCAAATCTTTGTGGTTTATATAGAGGCTTGTGCTCAATGTGTACTGAGATCTAGTACTTCAAACTCTGTTCTCTTCACGTGGTCTGGCAAACTGAAGTTGACTTGGGAGCGTTGTCTTCTTAGGTTCCGCCTGCTGAATACAAGTGCTAATCTTTTATTCACTAAGCAAAGCTTACTTTGTTTACAAAGAAACCTGCTCAGTTTCTGGCAAGGGGACAATAAATGGATATCCAGACCTTTAAATGAAAACCTAAAGACATATTAAACTTTACAATGTAACGGCTTTTAGCTTTATTGTAAATGGAGCATAATCCTTGGGCAGAAAGAATATGAATTTACATAATGACTTACTAGCACATAAGATCAGTCTTGTTTCTTGACAGGTGTATTTGTACATGCCTTTACATGATCCCTATACACAAATGAAATAAGAATTATTATTTATTTAACACATTTATATAGTGCAAATATGTTTTTTCCTAGCACTTTACAAAGAACATCCAAACATTTAATTTAGTCCCTGCCCACGAAGGAGTTCACAGTTCAGGGTCAATACCGAAGTTATATAAAGGTAGAATTTTTGCTAAAGGCCATGTATAATTAAAGATTCCAGACTGCTGCCCAGCCTACCACAGAAATCCTGCCAGGTCTCCATTGTACAGTAGTTGTTCCTGCACAGTCCCTTGGTGGAATACTGTACTATTTACTTACAGGTTGCCCCGTCAGCTATACCTAGATCTGGGTGAGCAGCGGGTAGTATAGGGTGACAGTTCGTCCTGTTATTCTAGGTGATATTTGTGTTGAGTGTGAGAACTGTCTTCTCAGTTTCTCTCCCTTCAGCTCTGATGTGCATTGTGTAATTTTGGTGACTGTTCTTGTTGTAGGTATCATACTAAAGCTGGCCAGAGATGGACCCAAATTTGGTCGGTTCAACAGGGACCAGATTCATTTGGATCCGTATATGGCTGTTCCTACTACAGAGAAGTCAGTCTAACATTTGGCTTCTCTTGAACAGGAAAATTGGAAATGTTTCACTCAATCAGCACTGCAGAAAGTCCGCAGTAGCATTGATCAGTGTAATCTGACAGAGGAGGAGTCCCCACAATCAGAATACAATAGCACAGCGGACAGGATTCCTTCATCCACCTTGAATGTGTGGATGGAAGAATCTGTTGGGTTTTTTTTATCACTTTGCTGGCTAAGCACAAAAAAAAAAATCTATGCCCAGGTTAAGGCTAGTTAGTTGTTTGGGGTGGGCATGCAACAGAACAGTTGACTAGGTGGACAAAATATAAAACCAATCGGCCTGGATGGCAATTTCTGCATCACCATATTGAGAACATATTTAACAAAATTTTTATGAATCTTATGTAGTGCTATCGCCTTAAAATCCGCTTTGTATTTTGGATCTTCTGTTCGTTCTGAGCCTTTTTAGAGCCTAACTCCTGCTGACACCACCGTATACCATTGAACAGAAGGACCCCTGGCTGTAAAACACAAAATAATCACATAGTTTAACCACTAGCCTACAGGGCACGTATACCCCATCCTGCCCAGGCCAATTTCCAGCTTTCAGTGCTGTTGCACTTTGAATGACAATTGCGCGGTCATGCAATACTGTACCCATGACATTTTTATCATTTTATGTAACAGATAGAGCTTTACTTTGGCGGTTTATAATCACCTCTGGGTTTTTTTCTTTCATAAACAAACCAAAAACCACTGAAAATTTTGAAAAAAAAAGTTTTTTTCTTAGTTTTTGTTATAAAATTTTGTAAATAAGTGATTTTTTCTCCTTCACTGATGTGCGCTAATGAGGCTGCAGTGATGGGCACTGATAGGCTGCACTGATGGACACTGATAGGTGGCACTGATGAGGAGGCACTGGTAGGTGGCACTGATGGACATTGACAGGCATCACTGATGGGCACTGAAAGGCAGCACTCATATATGGCACTGATAGGGGGCACTGACTGGCACTGTTAGGTGGCACAGACTGGCACTGTTAGGCGGCACTGATGCACACTGATTGGTGGCACTGATAGGCGGCACTGAGTGGCAGCACTGATAGGTGGCACTGACTGGCACTGATGGGTGACACTGAAAGGCAGCTCAGATGGGCATTGATGTGCACTGGTAGGCACTGAAATGTGGCTTTGATGTGGCACTGATGGGAACTGGCATGTGGAATGGATGAGCACTGACAGCTGGCACTGATGGACACTGACAGTTGGCACTGCTGGAACTACACAGATCATCAGTGCCCTGATGATCAGTGTACAGTGTCTTGTACGGCTCCGGCTCGAGGGCCACTGAAGGTGGGACAGCAACCACAAGAGCACGACGGGCTATGAGTGCCTGGTCAGTCCTGTAGTCTGTGCGGGAATTGCTGGCACTTCACTGGCAGATAGGATGGCTGGACCGGCTGGCAGCAGAGCAGGCTGGTAGCAGGCAGATGTCACATTTGGACTGGCTGGTGGCAGAGCAGGCTGGTAGCAGAGCAGGCAGGCAGTGGAGCAGGCTGGTAGCAGACTGTATGCAGGGTCAGACAAGCGGGGTCAGTAACAGATAAGCGGATCGGGCATGAACGGCAGGCAGAAGAATGGTCGAGTCATAAGCCAAGGTCGTGATGGTGGGAGTAGATCAGGCAGATACAGAAGACAGAGGCGGAGTCCAAGAAGCAAACCGGGGTCAACACAGGTATCAGTCACAGGATCAGGCACAGGAATACAGGGGGGAGCTGCAGATCACACAGCAATTCACTAGTGCAGATGCTGCACCTATATAGGCCAGGGGGCACCAGAATTAGCCAATGCACATTTCCGTGCATGTACGCCCGTGCATGCACATATGTATGCGCATATGCGCACGGCCACGCACAACAGTATGAGCACCTGCAGGCCCACGTTTCACATTCGCGTGTGTGGCTACCAGCCTCAGCTATGCCATGGACAACATGTCCCTGACAATACTCTTGTGATGAACTAGCAAGACAAACCAACAACGTTTCAAAACAAGACATGAAAAAAGATTTAATCATTTAACTTTATCAGTCAGGAGGCAGGAACTTTGGCAAGTTTTTGTTATGAGGCAGATTCAACAGAAATGTTGCCCACCATGACTCAAGAGACTTTAGTAGGCTCTGAGGAGAGGTTACCATCTCCACATTTACCACATCGGTGGCGTCAGCAAGGGGAATCTGCAGGCTTTGAAGTGTAATCTATTGCACTAGGTATGGAGGCTTCAAGAGTCCTTTGACTAGAATAAAACACTTCCTCTGAAATTTCTCCTAGCATGTTAAAAGTTAGTCTTTTGGGTGGCTTTATGGCCATTTTTTCCTTGGGTCCAGCACAGGGATTGATTTTGTCTTCATTCTCTAAGGCCCTTTCCTTCTGCTCCAACACATTTCCTAAATCCTCCTCAGCTAAGGGCTCCAGTAGGTCCTCTATCCTGACAGAGTCTGGGAGATCTGGCTCAGGTTCAGAGGGGCTGGAGTCATTGAATCCTAAGTCTAATAATAAAAGTATGTAAAGCGAGCTCTCGGATATTAAAATTGATCAACAAATAATTTATATTAATATGCAGCAGCAAATGAACCAACATAGGATATCCTAAAAAACCCAGTAAGAACAAATATAAATGAACTAGTGCAGCGCTAAAAAATGAGCAAAACTAAAAAACATATAAAATAAAGTACACGGTGCTGTTTGCACCCAAAATAAATTAATACGAGTATGCAGTCTTAGTAAGTGTGAGATACAGTGCAGGCTTGACTCTGGAGTTCAGCAATCTCAGGTAGTTAATTCCAACTTCATAGATAGTATAAATCCTTGTGATGTGACTCCGTGCATCTATTTATAAAATGCACACTCACCAGAAGCACATAGGATATGTGCATAAAATCATCCAAATCCGTGAGGTCCCCTTTAAGTGGATCACCCAGCAAGAAGTAAGGATCCTACGTCCGGACACCTGACTCTTGTGCAGCTTTGCTTCCTCTGGGGGTCTCCAAGAGCAAATTGGCTCAAGGCAAAGCCATATATGAAAAAAATCATATAGTGTAGTACTTTTAAAATGTAATTTATTGTGGATCAATAGCCAATAATTCCAAATAATTAAATCATTCAGAAGAATAACTCAAAACATTGAAAAAATCAGTTCCAGCACACTGGTAAAAACATAAAACCATGTGGCTGTATCAGCCACTATCCAAGATGGCCGCCAGACCTCCGTACGGCTCCGGCGGTGTGATGTCACGATGTTAGGGCTCCTCCTTAATGCGTTTCATGCAATAGCACATTGTCAAAAGGGGTGTGCCTATCGTCGGATGTCGCCTATCAGTCTATTTATATAGTACAGCCGTCCGCGCATGCACAATGCGCGGGCGCCATTTTGTCTAAGTAAATCAGAAACTAAAGAGTGAAGCCGCATGCGCGGTCTCTCCTGCAGCCCAGGACTGACACACAACTGATCGTGAGTCAGATTAAATCCTGCAGCTGGACTTAGGAAATTAATCAAACGGCAGAAAAAAAACTCCAGCTGGACTCAATGTGCAATACCATTAGAGTGCAACATACTGGTAGAGCAGGGGTCAAATTATAAGCCATATGAATAAAGAATATTATATATATTGGTGAAAGACTATTCATTGTGACATATAGGTAAATAACTAGAAAAAAGGTGGAATGATCAAATATTTGTTATGACTATATTACATTTATGTAAAAAGATTACTAATCTAGAACAAATAATAAAAATATAAATAATAAAATAAATTGAACCATAAATGTCAAAAATTAGTAAATTACTACAAAAAAAGTGATAGTATAATACATATATAAAAGGTTACCACCTATGCTTAAAAATCAAGTTAAAATTGGAATATAATTCACTTAGGAGAAAAAGAAAAAATTATAAAAAATATAATAAAATAAAAAATAAAAATGTATATATTAATGGTTAAGATTCCAAAAAGGGAAGAAAAAATAAATAAACATAGTCATGTCATAATAAATACTCATCCTCCCTATCATATACAGGATATGAAATCTGCTCCTACAGATGCATATGAGAATAAAATAGGGGTGATAAATAGAATAACTCTAAAACATTTAAAAAAACACACAATCATACAGTGGGGCAAAAAAGTATTTAGTCAGCCACCAATTGTGCAAGTTCTCCCACTTAAAAAGATGAGAGGCCTGTAATTGGCATCATAGGTAGACCTCAACTATGAGAGACAAAATGAGAAAAAAAAATCCAGACAATCACATTGGCTGATTTGGAAAGAATTTATTTGCAAATTATGGTGGAAAATAAGTATTTGGTCACCTACAAACAAGCAAGATTTCTGGCTCTCACAGACCTGTATCTTCTTCTTTAAGAGGCTCCTCTGTCCTGCACTCATTACCTGTATCAATGGCACCTGTTTGAACTTGTTATCAGTATAAAAGACACCTGTCCACAACCTCAAACAGTCACACTCCAAACTCCACTATGGTGAAGACCAAAGAGTTGCATCCAAAGAACACCATACCTGCTGTGAAGCATGGGGGTGGCAACATCATGCTTTGGGGCTGTTTCTCTGCAAAGGAACCAGGACGACTGATCCATGTACAGGACAGAATGAATGGGGCCATGTATCGTGAGATTTTGAGTGCAAACCTCCTTCCATCAGCAAGGGCATTGAAGATGAAACATGGCTGGGTCTTCGAACATGACAATGATCCCAAACATACCGCCCGGGCAACGAAGGAGTGGCTTCATAAGAAGCATTTCAAGGTCCTGGAGTGGCCTAACCAGTCTCCAGATCTCAACCCCATAGAAAACCTTTGGAGGGAGTTGAAAGACCGTGTTGCCCAGTGACAGCCCCAAAACATCACTGCTCTAGAGGAGATCTGCATGGAGGAATGGGCCAACATACCAGCAACAGTGTGTGCCAACCTTGTGAAGACTTACAGGAAACGTTTGACCTCTGTCATTGCCAACAAAGGATATATAACAAAGTATTGAGGTGAACTTTTGATATTGACCAAATACTTATTTTCCACCATAATTTGCAAATAAATTCTTTCCAAATCAGCCAATGTGATTGTCTGGATTTTTTTTCTCATGTTGTCTCTCATAGTTGAGGTCTACCTATGATGCCAATTACAGGCCTCTCTCATCTTTTTAAGTGGGAGAACTTGCACAATTGGTGGCTGACTAAATACTTTGTTGCCCCACTGTATATTATATAAAGGTAGTAAACATGTATGAGTAAAACCCCATTATAAATTAATAAAATGCAGTATAGCATAATAATAGCTGATAATACCTTTAAAGCAAAAGCAAAAAATATATATTTAAAGCAAAAAAATATAAATAAGTCCACCCAGGACAAATAGTAACATGTCGCTGCATCATAAAAAATGAATCACCAGGGTATTATATAAAAGGGTTGTGGGCGTATGTTATTATAAGCATAGTTAACTGTTATCTATGAAACAGTTGATTTCTAGATCTCTGTTTAACCTGTGTGGTTTCAGTGATTGAATCTCAAAGATCCACTTTGTTTCTAACTGTGAAACTGCTTTGCATCTATTTACTCCTCTCCAGTGACATTTGTGGGAATAGATATGATTAAACATAATCATATCTATTCCCATAAATTTCAGGGAGGAGGGGTCTCTATTATGAAAGTGCCTATAGTGCTTCGATAAAGAATGCTCCTTATAGCCTCTCTAAATGCTATAAATATGCTCTCTGAGCCTGTCCCTTAATCTACATATTGCTTGTGGCACGGACACTCTAGTAAATAGACAACATATCTACTATTGCAGGAAATAAATTGTGAGATATTGTAGCTCTTCACGGTGGAATGGGATATAAAAGCTTCACTTTCAAACTTCCTACTTCCATTATATTTACAGATCGTGCACTTGTTGCAAGGGTGGTAGCCTTTAATATCAGCAAAAAGTGTTGTAGCAGCCGGAGGATCTATAATATTAGGTGCTATCCTTGTTCTGAGTGACATAGCAACGTAATTTCTGGCCTATCAGGGAGTAATCCAGATAGAATGGGGTCTGATTTGAGTATCCCCCAGTTTTTATAAATTGTTTTCTTCACTTCCCTATGCTGTATCGAAAATTCATTACAAATGGACAAAATTGGTTAACCCTTTCTTTTCTTGGTTGGGATAGCATCATCTCTCTATTCATATATGAAACCTCCTGCGCTGTTTGGTCTAAGGATATCTTAGTGTAACCTTTTTCTCCGAATCTGCTCTTAAGGATCTCTGCTTGTGAGAAGTATGTATTGAGATCATCACAATTTCGTCTAATCCTCATGAACTGTCCTTTCGGAATATTCGACAGCCATTGAGGATGGTGACAACTATTAATCGGAATATAACTATTCCTATCAGTTGTTTTAAAGAACGATTTTGTAGCTATCCTAGTCCCTT